CTATAGATCGCACTCTCTTCCAGTCGTCGCCCAACAGATTTGTCAGAGTTTTCTCTATCAGTGGTTCGGCTGTCTTCTCGTGCCGTCTGTCCGAAAACAGGTGGAAGTCCTTCACTAAAATTGTTTTCACCAATTCTGGCTCAGCCACCATCAGAATTGGTTCATCCAGTTCGTAATATCTATGCAAGTTTATATCATATTTGTATTTATTTGTTTTACTAAATTATAGAATTAACTAAAATACCCGTAAATATGTCCAAATTTTTTAAGCCAGTTCACTTCGACTAATGGTCGGGGAGTTACCAGAAAACTGAGAAGATTACCAAAAATAGGCAGTGGTTTTGGGCCTTTCACTCCACGTTTAGACCAGTAATTATTCTTGCGATTCAAAGCTCTTATAAAATAAAATTATTTATTTAATACGATTACAAGAATAATGAATTAATGTATATTTTTACTTGTAAAACAGATATCCACCACATATTATTGTAAAAATAACTAAATATCCAAATGAATCCATACTTTAAAAGTTAGAAAGTATACAAATGAAAACTTTGTATGATTCTGGTTAATGAATTTTTAAACAAGAATAAATAGGATATTTATATATTTTTGTTGTAAATCAGTGCATTAGTGATTATTTAATTTGAATTTTGCTTATTTTCAATGTCAACCAATTGAGCTTTTTTAAATGTGATTTGTTGTCAAACAACTCCAATCAAAACACTTATAAATTAATTGTAATCATCTGTGAGTGCATTACGTATTTTTAGTGTGTGATGCACTTACTAAATGACTGCCAAATAATAATGTAGATTTTATCTAAAAGATAACTTTATTAAAATTTATTTTTTGCAAACATATCTTTTTAACACTTTTATTCTACCGGAATAAATAATTTCAATAATCTATATTTCATTTTAAAAGTGAGTGTACTACTGGTTAAATCTTTGAATATAAAATTTTATTCACATGGTTATCAAATTTAGTAAATTAAATAGACCTTATATTTTTACGTATTTGAATGTATTAATTATACACTATATTTATTATGTATTAACAAGTTTAAAGTTAAATTTTTTACAAAATTACAGCAATGTATTATGAATGTAGAAAATTAAATATAATTGAATTAAATGTAAAAAAAATTCATTTAAACTCTGCTTTCAATGCCGACGACAATCCGTTGAGCAGAAGTCAAATTCAATGATCTTTTGTATTTGAGGGGAACGTCTGTCTTATCGGTGGCGAAGAATTTAAATCTTCTGATGATATGAGCCAAACATACCTTTGTCTCCATCAACGCAAATCTCATTCCTATGCAATTGCGAGGACCGGCACCAAAGGGTAAGTAAGTATAAGGTGTGATCTTATGTCTGTTTTGTGGCAGGAATCGATCAGGGTCGTATTTGAATGGATTTTCAAAATATTCCTCCGAGTGGTGAATAGCGTAAACCGGGATTTCTATTTGTTGTCCTTTCGATACATTGATCCCAGTTTTGCCTAATTTATAGTCAGTCGATGCGATCCTCGAGAGTCTGGGGAACGGAGTGTAGAGGCGAAGTGTCTCCGACAGGACGGCATCCAAATACGACAGTCGAGACAACTCTTCGTAACTGATCTCTCCATCGGAATCGATGGCGGAACTGATTTCCTCATACAGTATGTCCTGAACACTGGGATTGAGCGCCAATTCGTATGTACAGAATGACAGAGTGCTGGCCGTTGTCTCGTACCCGACCAACAAAAATACCAACGCCTGCGCCAGTATCTCATCCTCAGTCAGCTTCTTGTGAATAGTATTTATATTTAATGTCTTCTGTTTTATCGCCAACTCTTCCTCCCCTTTAATATCAATTTTAATCAATTATTAAGAATTAATTATTTTATAGTTTAGTTCATACCTTCATTCACATGATGTGATTCATTGATATCATTCTCATCCCTAGTGTTGTCATCACTATCTTTATTCGCATCCATAAGCAGTTGAACGAAATCATTGTGTTTGTCACGAGTCTGTTGNATAAATTCTGGTCTAATAGAGGGATCAATGGTCCCAAACCTGTTCCCATATTTGGCAATCTTATCGATATGTATCTCATTCCTCGACCTCTTCAGGAACTCAATTGGTTTAAGAAATACGGAAAAGTCTACGGGTTTTACAAACTAATGACCATTTATTCTGTAAACACAACTAATATGTGATTTAAAACAGACATTACGTGAAGAGTCAGCCCATTCTGACCATCTGTGACCCAAATGTGATCAAGACCATTTTGGTGAAAGACTTTCATCTGTTTACGGACCGCACGCATCAGAGGACACCCGACCCTATAATCAGCAAAAATATGGTCGAAATGACTGGCGATGACTGGAAAAGAGTGCGAACTATAGTGAGTCCGACATTCAGTTCCCGCAAAATGAAGACAATGTTTCCCAAAATCAGAGACTGTTTAACAGAATTGCTGAACCATTTGGAGGGCATCGCGAAGAGCGAGAAGGAAATGGATGCGAAGGACATGTACGGCAACTATACGATGGATGTGATCGCCAGCTGCGCCTTCGCCACCAAAACTAATTCATTCAAAGACCCCAACAGTCCATTGATTTTGAACGCAAAATTGTTTCTCAATGTAAACCCCTTTTGGCACTACTTTTCACTATTTGCACCGAAATTCCTCATGAAATGGTTGATCAGTAAAAGTCCGGTATTTAATCTTTTCTACGATTACATCCGACACACCCTTTCACAGAGACAACAGACTCGTGACAAACACAATGATTTCGTTCAACTGCTTATGGATGCGGACAAAGATAGTGATGACAACACTAGGGATGAGAATGATGTCAATGAATCATATCATGTGAATGAAGGTATGAACTAAACTATAAAATAATTAAATTCTTAATAATTGATTAAAATTGATATTAAAGGGGAGGAAGAGTTGGCGACAAAACAGAAGACATTAAATATAAATACTATTCACAAGAAGCTGACTGAGGATGAGATACTGGCGCAGGCGTTGGTATTTTTGTTGGTCGGGTACGAGACAACGGCCAGCACTCTGTCATTCTGTACATACGAATTGGCGCTCAATCCCAGTGTTCAGGACATACTGTATGAGGAAATCAGTTCCGCCATCGATTCCGATGGAGAGATCAGTTACGAAGAGTTGTCTCGACTGTCGTATTTGGATGCCGTCCTGTCGGAGACACTTCGCCTCTACACTCCGTTCCCCAGACTCTCGAGGATCGCATCGACTGACTATAAATTAGGCAAAACTGGGATCAATATATCGAAAGGACAACAAATAGAAATCCCGGTTTACGCCATTCACCACTCGGAGGAATATTTTGAAAATCCATTCAAATACGACCCTGATCGATTCCTGCCACAAAACAGACATAAGATCACACCTTATACTTACTTACCCTTTGGTGCCGGTCCTCGCAATTGCATAGGAATGAGATTTGCGTTGATGGAGACAAAGGTATGTTTGGCTCATATCATCAGAAGATTTAAATTCTTCGCCACCGATAAGACAGACGTTCCCCTCAAATACAAAAGATCATTGAATTTGACTTCTGCTCAACGGATTGTCGTCGGCATTGAAAGCAGAGTTTAAATGAATTTTACATCAGAAGATTTAAATTCTTCGCCACCGATAAGACAGACGTTCCCCTCAAATACAAAAGATCATTGAATTTGACTTCTGCTCAACGGATTGTCGTCGGCATTGAAAGCAGAGTTTAAATGAATTTTTTTTACATTTAATTCAATTATATTTAATTTTCTACATTCATAATACATTGCTGTAATTTTGTAAAAAATTTAACTTTAAACTTGTTAATACATAATAAATATAGTGTATAATTAATACATTCAAATACGTAAAAATATAAGGTCTATTTAATTTACTAAATTTGATAACCATGTGAATAAAATTTTATATTCAAAGATTTAACCAGTAGTACACTCACTTTTAAAATGAAATATAGATTATTGAAATTATTTATTCCGGTAGAATAAAAGTGTTAAAAAGATATGTTTGCAAAAAATAAATTTTAATAAAGTTATCTTTTAGATAAAATCTACATTATTATTTGGCAGTCATTTAGTAAGTGCATCACACACTAAAAATACGTAATGCACTCACAGATGATTACAATTAATTTATAAGTGTTTTGATTGGAGTTGTTTGACAACAAATCACATTTAAAAAAGCTCAATTGGTTGACATTGAAAATAAGCAAAATTCAAATTAAATAATCACTAATGCACTGATTTACAACAAAAACATATAAATATCCTATTTATTCTTGTTTAAAAATTCATTAACCAGAATCATACAAAGTTTTCATTTGTATACTTTCTAACTTTTAAAGTATGGATTCATTTGGATATTTAGTTATTTTTACAATAATATGTGGTGGATATCTGTTTTACAAGTAAAAAAAATTCATTAACCAGAATCATACAAAGTTTTCATTTGTATACTTTCTAACTTTTAAAGTATGGATTCATTTGGATATTTAGTTATTTTTACAATAATATGTGGTGGATATCTGTTTTACAAGTAAAAGTATACATTAATTCATTATTCCTGTAATCGTATTAAATAAATAATTTTATTTTATAAGAGCTTTGAATCGCAAGAATAATTACTGGTCTAAACGTGGAGTGAAAGGCCCAAAACCAGTGCCTATTTTTGGTAATCTTCTCAGTTTTCTGGTAACTCCCCGACCATTAGTCGAAGTGAACTGGCTTAAAAAATTTGGACACATTTACGGGTATTTTAGTTAATTCTATAATTTAGTAAAATAAATAAATACAAACATGATATAAACTTGCATAGATATTATGAACTGGATGAACCAATTCTGATGGTGGCTGAGCCAGAATTGGTAAAAACAATTTTAGTGAAGGACTTCCACCTGTTTTCGGACAGACGGCACGAGAAGACAGCCGAACCACTGATAGAGAAAACTCTGACAAATCTGTTGGGCGACGACTGGAAGAGAGTGCGATCTATAG